CCTAAACCCTAAACGCTAAACCCCTACATCCTAAACCCTAAACCCTAAACCCCTACACCCTTTGGAGCCCGGAAGCCGAGCCCTTGATGGACACCACCGAAGAGCTTAGCCCAACAGCTGCAAGCGACCATGCAAGCACCAATCTCCCGAACCCTAAACCCTAAACCCTAAACCCTAAACGCGTAACCCGTAACCCGCAAACCCTAAACCCTAAACCTTAAACCCCTAAACCCTAAAACCCAAAGCCTTACTACTCCCAAGGCTAAAGGCCACCAAACCCAGAATCGTGAACCCTGAACCCTGTAGGGTATAGGCGGTATAGGGTTTAGGGGTTCAGGGTTTTTTTAAGTGTGATGACTTTTACGTCTGCCGAAGCACACACTTGTGGTGGGTTTAGGGTTTAGGGTTTCAGGGTCCAGGGTTCAGGGCTAAGGGTTTAGGGGTTTAGGGGTTTAGGGTTTAGGGTATGTTGAACCCCAACCCTAAACCCTACCTTATCCCCCAAAAACCTACCTTTTTAAGGACTTATATAAAGAAACTACAATAAGGAACCCTAAAAAGGTAGGTTATTTGGGGTCCAAGTACTCCCCAAAACCCTTAACGAGCTGAGCCAAACCTTGCACCTCAAACCAAGAACAACCTCAACCCTCGGTCCCTGACCCTAAACCCTAAACCCTAAACCACCTCTAAAAACACCCCCTATAGCAGCTTTGCGGAAATTTTCAAGGAGCCCAATGAACCCTAAACCTACACCTTAGAACTCTAAACCTAGACCGCCTAGACCCTAAACGTAAGCGCGAAACCCTAAACCTAAACCTTAAACGTAAACTCTAGACCCTACACCCAAATCCTAAACCCTAAACCTACACCCTACACCCTACAGTTCTACTTAAACCCTAAACCTAAATCTCGGTGAACCCACAGCTCGCAGAGCCTGAGGTAAACTTCGTCTGCTGGGTTGTAGATGCGGCGCTCCTTCCGCAGTGCCAGGGTTTGGTCGACTTCGGGGTTGAACCCTAAGCCCTATATAAGCCCTAAACCCTAATCCCTAAACCCGAAGCTCTTAGCCCTAAACCTAAAACCCTAAACCCTAAGCCCTAAACCTAAGCCCTAAGCCCTAAGCCCTAAACCCGAAGCCCTAAACCTAAAACCCTAAGCCCTAAGCCCTAAACTTAAACCCTAGACCCGAAGCTCTTAGCCCTAACCTCAAAGCCCTAAACCCTAAACTCTTAGCCCAAAGCTCTATAAGCCCTATATCTTCGGGCTTGGGCTTGGAGGTGTGGAGTTTGAGCGTTTACATCTCATATTTAGGGTTTAGGGTTTAGGGTTTAGGAACGATGTTCCCAGAATTAAGCAGTATCAGTGTACCTTAAACCCTAGAAGGAAGCCCTTAAGTCATAAGAGCTTAAGATAATCAACCCTAAAACCTAAACCCTAAACCCTGAACCCTAAACCTTAAATCCGAGAAGGAAGCGCTTAATTCATACTAGTTTAAGATACATCCTTGAAGCGGGGCCTACAGCGCCTCCGCGTATCTTGAACTGGATGAAAGCGTGACGTGTGCTCTCTGGGATGGCAGCGGCCCCAAACCCAAAGCCCTAAACCCCTAAAGCCAAAATCCCTAAACCCTAAACCCCTGAACCCTAAAACCCTAAAACCCTAAACCCCGCTCCTGGAGGGTATAGCCGCAACTCCAGCCGCAGGGCGAATGGAGCAACCTGCGGCGGCTTCGGGACTGGAAGAACCGAGGGCTCGGGGCTATGATTGGGTTGGCCTTTAAACCCTCTGAAAAACATGTATATAAAGGGTCCCTGATAAACCCAAATGAGGAAAATAGAAAACGTCCCAAAAACCAACCTAGTAAGAAGATAAACACCTATAAATCCAGCCCTAAACTCTAAACCCTAGCCTACAACTAATTAGCAAGGGAATTTCTTCGGGTTCCGTATTGTGTTTCTGCCATAGCAAGCCCATAACCCTACTCGCCAGTTATCAAGGCCCCCGCCCATCAAGTTGAACATTAACGCCTCTAATCACGCCCTAAAAGCCTAAACTGGGCTTAGGGTTTAGGCTTTGGGGTTCAGGGTTTAGGGCCTCGGTCGGGTGTAGGGTCCAATTATAGGATGGGGGGATGCCAGCATCCTTTCATCTTTTCAACATTTTCGGGTGCACTGTAGGCACCATTCGGTAGTAATTAAAGTTTGGGGTACATCCTGTCGTAGAGAAAGGTAGGGCTGAAAGCTTGTTCTCCTGGGTCCTGCCGTGCATGTCCTTGCAATCCCTCTCCAGGGCTGTTCAGGATTATGGAGGTATGATGTGACTTTTCTCGGCTGCTTGTACGGTAATAGTCTATACGGCTTTACCATCGGCTAGCTGTATACATAGAAACGGTTTGACATATTGCTGGCTACTTCTAGGCGACAGTCTGGTTTTGGAGTTTGATTACGGGTGTAGGGCTTCAGGTTTAGGATTTGGGATCCGTGGCATTTGGGGCACAAGCTGGCTGTTCCAGCAGGAAGGTCACCACGCGGCATGCGAACCAGGTAGGTCCTGCACTGGCCCGCATAGTGCGACCCGGTCCCTCCACGGAACCATGACTAGGACTCGATCCCTAAACCCTGATCACCACTGCCACTGCTGTCACCCGAAGCTCACCCGGCTAGATAGTCCCTTCGCGCGGGAAATCTCTTCCCCAGATGCACGGGCCGATTCGGCTTTCAGGAGGGCCTTGTAATCAGACATAGCAAGCGTGTGAGCATCTCGGCTGGCTAGGACATTTTCTGCCAACAAGTGAGCGTACCTGAAGGGAGGAAGCAGGTAGAATGAAGTCAAGCTCATCGCATCCTGCGGTTTGGAGCAGAGTCACGTACGCAACTTGGGGCCCGCTGGCGGCACCGAGTGTGGCCAGCCGCCGAAGCGCGGTGCCGGCGACGTCTGCGACCCGGGCTGCGAGCGTCGCATCAGTCGCCAACTCCGCAGCCCCGAAATGCTCCCACGTTGCGCCTCCGGATAACAGCACAACGATTGGGAGCGATGCGTCGCCGTCGACGTCGACGGTGGCAGCGCCCGCCAGGGCGAAACGCACTGTGCCCAGACGGCGGCACAGAGCCGCGAAGTCTTGGCGCGTCGTCCAACCACCCATGTCAAGACGAGCGCACGGCCTTAAACCATACACCCTAAACCCTCAACCCTACACCCTAAACACTGAGAACCTAAACCCTAAACCCTAA